GACCCAGGTATGTCTCCGGGAAACGGCGGCAATCCTAACCATACGCTGATGCCCGGAATGACCAGACTCGGTTGAATTCCAGCAAAATATCCGATCTTACAACAATGCCCTATCGTTTACTTCTTTAGGGGGCAAGGTCGATCGATCTGTGATGGGTCCAATGGGGGTCAATATATTTCGAGTCAATGGACACTTGACGCACGACATTAGTTCACTCCGGGCCAGTGATGGGGTCGACCCTGGTTACTGTCAGATCTATGTGATAGGGGGTGGTGACGAGGAAGAAGCAATCCTACGCCGAAAAGTTTCTGGGAAAAACCTCAATCTCGACATCCTGCAACGCTTTCAAACTTTCATGTATGACATCAACCCGTTTGCTAGAAGGTTCCAACAAGCAGGGGAAGTACTCGCGACCAATCCCAATGTCGCTGTCAATCTCATGACTATGCTTCTGGACAACCGGGATCAGAGAATTTATAACTTACCAACAACGGACGAAGTGGCAATGATCGTAGAAGGGGACGGATGCATCACCGAGAATTCACAAGATGTCCTCTTATACACCAAGATGAGGTCATTCGAGTCAATTTCAGACCTCAATACCTCTTATTTGGCCCTACGTTACGTAGTATTTTTCCCGCGTGGACAGCAGGGCTACGACGGGAATTACCGAATGCCTTTCACTGACAGTGAGTGACGGGTAATCTTTGCACTAATAACATCGCTGACATGACTTGCAATTCAGGAAAAATCAGTCAGATGGCCTGGTTCGCGTGGATGCTGTTTCCTCGCCTCAAAACGTTTTCGCCCGTGCTGCACGGCCGCCGTCTCTTTCAGGAGCTATGCGTCGATTTGTACATTTGTGTCGAGCACTGGCGACTCGAGTTCATACGCAACAATCAGAAGACCCTTCGGGCCGCGATTTACCACGGCGTCTTGGAAGCAATGGGCCGGCACGACCTCGCCCCTAGCAGGACTGTGATACTCCCATCGACACACACCGGCTCACCTCGGTATATGGCTGAGCAGTATCACGACTCGATGGCGTTAGTCAATGAATTCGGCATGCCAGGCTATTTCATAACAATGACGACCAATTCGGATTGGCCAGAGATTCAGGACAACCTAGAATATGGCGAGACACCGCAGGATCGGCCAGACCTCGTGACTCGAGTGTTTCACCTCAAAGCTGCAGCACTGATTGATGATGTCACAAAGCGACAGCGCCTCGGCCACTGTGTGTCATGGACCTTTGCGATTGAACATCAGAAACGAAGCCTGCCCCACATTCACCTTGTGCTGATTATGGCAAAGAGAGAGACTCCCCGAACGGTCGATGACATCGACTTGCAAGTGTCAGCTGACATGCCCGATCCCAAGACTCACCCGAAACTTCACAGCTTTGTGACGAGATTTATGATTCACGGACCATGTTCTGCGTCAAGATCATGTTGGCGACTGGACCGCTGTAAACTGGATTACCCGCGACCTCATCAGGAATTCACCACCATACCGGAAGCTGGCTATCCACTGTACCGCCGTCCAACTACAGCAAGAACAGGCATTTGCAAGGGCCGTACCGTCACAACTCGAGACGTTGTCCCGTACAGCCCTTATCTACTTTTGCGACATGAATGTCACATCAATGTCGAGATACCAGCGAGCGTCCGGGCTATCAAGTATTTATATAAATACATATTGAAGGGCCAAACTTGGTCAACAATGACTTTCACTTCTAAAGACGAAGTGCTACAAATGTTAGATGGCCGATACATAAGCGCTCCAGAAGGTGAGGTATTGTTTTTCGGTGTGGCCATTGGAAAATTACTAACACAAAGAACGCTTGTAGCGTGCGGGAGATTGTTTGCACAGCCCATCGTGGGCAACTTTCCTGCGGTCACGAGGCTCGCCCTTCACTTGCCAGGCGCTCAAGAAGTGTACTTTGACGACGAGTTGGAGCTCGCCCAGGACATGGATTCAGGTCGTGCGGCCAGGACAACTCTAACCGAATTCTTCGACATGGCCAAGTGGAATCATGTAAAAGAAGAAGGCAAGATTGCGGTAAGGTCATTATATTACCTGGAGATGCCGAAACATTTCACCTGGCAGAAGACAACTCACCACTGGGACAATCGCTCACGAGAGACTGGAGCCATTGGCAGGGTCTATTTCGCCTCCCTGGCGCACGGTGAAAGGTTTTACCTCCGGCTCCTATTGTCAAATATTAAAGGACCGCATGGCTTCGTGGAAATTCGCACGGTCAATGGTGTAATATGCAGCACCTACCGAGAGGCTGCGCACCGGCTTGGTTTACTTGTCAACGATGAACACTATAAAGCCTTGATGGTCGAGGCTGCAGGATGGCAGACGGGCGCACAACTACGAGCTTTCTTCGCACTCATGTTGAAGCATTCACCACCTGCGGACCCGATGGCACTGTGGATTGCCCATAAGGTCGACCTATCCGACGACTGCCGACATGCCATTTTGCGGGAACATCAGGATTTACAAATCGATCAGTCCATGGCAGAAAATCTAGGACTATACCGACTTTCAGTTTGTCTACAAGAAATGGACATCACTCTCGAGGACTGTGGGTTGCCAACGCCAGACATGGAGGCTTTGCGACCGTTGGGCCCAAAATTTGTTGGTAGCCCAAGCGTGCACACGAGGGAGACCAGTCAGCAATACGTCATCAATGCCGAGAGAGAGCTTAACACTGAGCAACGGCGTTTGTTCGGGGCTGTCAAAGCTTACCTTGTGGACGGTCAGGGAGGTATGCTCTATCTCGACGGTCCTGGCGGCACCGGCAAAACTTTCACTTTGAACTTATGCTTGCACTACGCAAGCGCGGCGGGCGACAAAGCATTAGCCGTTGCGTCGTCCGGCACAGCGGCAATCCTATTGTTGGGCGGCCAAACGGCTCATTCGGCGTTCAAAGTCCCGTTAAAGACTGAGAGTACATCCAGTTGCAACTTTGTGCGTGGAGGACAACTCGCGCGAAGTCTAGAAGAGCTGCAGTTCATCGTGTGGGATGAAATTGCTATGCAGAATAAATTGGTTATTCACTGCGTGGATCGAAGTTTGCGGGACCTGAGAGGGAATACCGAACCTTTCGGTGGCATTTTAGTATTATTCGCCGGCGATTTCCGTCAGACGCTCCCTATCGTGCGGCATTCGAACATGGAGCAACAGGCTAGTGCATCGCTGAAGCGCTCGACGCTTTGGAATAGCATCGAGAAATTCCACCTGGTGACTAACATGCGCCTTTGGTATATAGATGGACAGATTGACGTCGTACGACAGGCGAACATAGAGTATGGCCGATGGTTATTACAGCTCGGGAATGGGGAGTTGCAGACGGAAGACCAAAAATATGTTGACATAGAAAGATGCAATGTGGCCACTGTTCCTGTCGCTACGAGGTTCAAGCTGGGTGTTATCATGGAGCACTTCGAAGCCGGCCCAGCGTTGGTCACGGCGGAGAACTGGCTGAATTTGGCCAAGTATTACTCAGAACGGTGTGTATTGACACCACTGAATAGGACTGTGCGGGAGGTCAATCAAGCGATACTGGACCGATCAGCAGGCGACGAGTTTCAGTACGTTTTGATTGACGAAGTGGACGACACATACGGAGAGCAAGTCACTGCAGAAATCTTGAATGCTCATGACCTGCCTTCTTTTCCGGCACACGAGGTGAATCTGAAGGTGGGAACACCGATAATGCTATTGCGTAATCTCAATCTCGCCAGCGGTTTATGCAATGGCACCCGCCTGATAGTCACGAAGTGCGGGATAGGCGTACTGCGGTGTAGAATTAGTTCAGGAGCGCACACAGGCGAAATGCTGATGCTTCCAAGAGTCAAGCTACGACATGAAGGTGACGAGAATTTCCCTGTGCCGTTCTATCGATACCAATTCCCTGTCACTCTGTCCTTCTGCATAACGATAAATAAGGCTCAAGGGCAGAGTTTGGAAAATGTCTTGGTTCTATTACCGGAACCGATCTTTTCGCATGGTCAGTTATATGTTGCACTGTCCCGTTGCACTGACGCGACGAAATTGAAGGTGTGCATAGCAGTGGCAGAAAACCTGCCTGCGACTCCTAACATCGTACACAAAAGTTTCATTGCCGAGTAGTTTGTCTGCTGTTATTGTAGCTAGTGTTTATGAACGTTGTAATTCATTATGTTGATGGCACTAACAAGACCGGCCGCGTCAGTGGGCGAGAGCACTCTCCTATAAATCGTGATGGCCTTGCCTGGTTGGTAGGTACGTCGGTCCTCATGTGGCCATATTATTAAGCCAGGGCTGAACCGGCCATAGAGTCTGGCGGGTGCATTGCAAAATAGTCTGGTGCTGGTTCCATGTGCGATGAATGGCTGTTTCCCATGCCTAAAAAGAGACTATATAATCCTGGTTGAGGCATCGTTGAATGAGAGAGAGCGCAGATTTACAACAACAATGCTGAAGCTAAACACCACCCAAAGCGACACAGAAACTACGATGCAATGTTACACTAGATTACCATTACATTATAGCGGCCTGTTCAAGATAGGATCAATGGTAGGTTCATTGCCTACATTAGCACCGAATAATACTAACAATTGGTCGTAGTTGGTTGAGCATACCAATGCAAATCCAATACGTAACTTTTATCACTCCACAGTGGCGACGGGATTAGGGCGTCATTGGCTGGTGAATGTGTTAATAGGTTGGCCGAAATCAATAACGGCTTTGGAGCATGGGGCGTTTTGCCATTTGGACGGTGAGATGCTACCAGGCACCAGTCCCAAGGATGTCGTATTACTTCCGAGGATCAAGTCGGTGGTGCAGTTGTGTCATTCTTCGTGGATACCTGCAACAGTGGAGAATGTAATTTCAGTGCACGGTCGCGGGCAGGTCGTGCATAGGAAATTGCGGTGCAATATCCTAACAGACGAAATGGAACTTATGATCACGGTTATGCACCGGGAATGGGACCCACTGGTAGGTAATCCTCTGCATCAGAGTTCTTCAGCACTGACGGTTTGTGTCTGCGCAGGAGCTGGAATTCGTGGAATTCGAGACAGTGTACGTGGCGGACAGGTCAGTCGTTGGAGAGACTGGCTTCGAGGTATTGGGATTGGGTAATATCGTTTCATTGGAGGGATACCTGAAGAACGACGAGCGTGACCTGACCAAATGGTTGATTGCCGTGAGTTAATGTACCCTACGTGGCTAAGTCGTTCTCGTAAACTGACGCTATTATAGATCACGGACACTTTGTTGGTTTCAAGGCACAGCGGTACAAACAACCACCCGGTCTTGGGCTGAGAGCAATAGTCCGCATTGCGTGTGGGGGGGTTATCATGGCGGGAAAATTCAATATCATTACACTGCTTGTCAACGGCGTGAGGAAGCTTAACATTTGTAGTATTAATGCAATAAGATGGCTATATACAATCAGTTAAAAACTACATGAGCGTGGGGTTGTCCCCTTTTCTGGTGTTCCACTGAAATGACAGTGTCGGCGACTGTGACATGTTTCTCGTGGGGGGACTGCTGAGGGATAGACAATGCGCTGATGGTGGCGCCAGAACTAGCACTGCTATTGTCGGCGTTGTCGCGAGGGTCAGGAGATGAGTTGAGTGCCGGTTGAGTGGCGACGTCTGGTAACGAATCGGAGAGGGTGTTCGTGGGTGGTTTGTGCTGTCATTCGATGTGTCAATATATGTGTAACAGAATATTTGGAATGGCTCACATTCCCGTGGTGAGCCTCTCCTGCACACGAACTGTCACCGTTGCGAGTGTCATTGATGGAGAACGAATCCTCAATGTTGGAAGTGTCTCTCGAATTGTCCATCCTGTGAGTGAAACCATGTCAATGATGGTGATGTTGGATGGCGGGACGACTTACTTTGGTGTTTTATCTGCTGTACAGATCATCCGGTGGCAATTGGTGACGTGGTGTTTGGCAGTGGAGTTCATGGATTCGAGATCATCACGATCCCGGATGGTTGTCACAACACGAATGTCACATGGGTGAAGTATTAGTTGATGCAATGAGGACCCGGTGACGGTACAAATGTCAGGTACGGGTTGGAACACGGGCAGTAAATGGTCTATGCAATAGCAATGCACTGGTCAATGCGGCGGCTGGGCGCCTAATCCCTAGTTCATTAATAAGATTATAAATAAAACATTCGAACCTCTCCCACATCAAACCTCTTAATTACCGCCACTACAAATCCCACATACCGATCCCCGTCAATAGACGACGAAGACTCCGACATCGATACACCAACACAGTTTGTCGACGCCACTCTCATCGTTGCAGATATGGAAGACATACAAAGGCAGATCAATGAATTGTCCGCGTCACTCAACCAAGAGAGAGCCCTTCGTACCGAGGCAGAGAATCGAGCTCGGAATTCGGAGGCTAGACTAGCCGCGATTGAAGCTAGTCGAACCGCTCCTACCCCAGCTCCTAGCAACCAACCTATGGATGCGACACCTGCATTGACACCCACGCCTAAAGGGCCAAAAGTGGCGGCTCCCGATAAGTTTAACGGGACTCGTGGCGCCCCGGCCGAGATCTTTGCTAGTCAAGTACAGTTGTACATGCTGGCCCACCCATACCTGTTCGAAAACGACAATCGAAAAGTCGTTTTTGCTATGTCTTACTTAACCGGAGCTGCTAGTAGTTGGGCTCAGCCGCTAATGCACGAACTCCTGGACGATTCTAAGTCTCATCTCGTCACCTTTGAGCGTTTCGTGACCAATTTTAAAGCCATGTACTTCGACACAGAGAAAAAGGCCAAGGCTGAAAAAGTACTACGTAACTTGTCTCAAAAAACCACGGTAGCGGCCTATACGCACGAGTTCAACATGCATGCTACATCGACTGGTTGGGAGATTCCCACCTTGATAAGCCAGTATGAGCAAGGTCTTAAGAGGGAAATCCGTGTGGCGATGGTGATGCACCAAGAAGAATTTCAAAGCATCGAAGAGATTGCAAACTTGGCCATAAAGATCGACACGAAACTCCATGGCGCCATTGACACCTCTACCACTTTTCACGTACCTACACATGACCCCAACGCGATGGACATATCATCGGGATTCGTCAGACTCTTGGATGAGGAGAAAGCGCGACGTATGAGATCTGGTCTTTGCTTCAGGTGTAATGAACAAGGTCATAGAGCAAATGAATGCCCTGGGAGACGAAATGATAAAGGGAAGAGTAGAGATAACCGTGGAGGTTTCAGAGCCCGTGTAGCAGAGTTGGAGATGGAATTAGCAGCTATGAAGACCAGAGGAGGAGAGAGAAATGATAGTGTTAATGGAGGTAGCAAAGCCAATTCTTCAAAAAATGGCGGTGCTCAGGCTTGATTGATGTGCCTAACCTGAGCAAACATGGGGTTATGAATGATATTAAACTAGGTGCTAGTAAATTGAACTCTTGCAATGAAGTTGATCCACGTATTTTTTTACAAAGTTCACTCTCATTGTCCCACCAACCCCGCGCCACATCCTACCACACACTTCCTGCCTACTTTCTTGTCGACTCCGGTGCCACACATGATGTGTTAAGTGAGAGTTTTGCCCGCCGCAATAGTCTTATTGACCACGCTGTGAGCGCAACACGAGTTGTCACCGGATTCGACGGTTCGACAAGTCAAGCCTCATACGAAATCGACCTATTCATCGACTGCGATACGGACCCCACCCACTTCATCATAACTCGCATCAAAGACATGTACGACGGGATCCTTGGCATACCTTGGATCAAGAAGCACCACCACTTGATCAACTGGGAGGCCGGGTACATCGAACTCGGCAACCATTGCATTGCAACTGCTTCCGCAGTGTCGTCCTATCTGACCAAAGCCCGTGACGACCTTGAGGAGGGAGCCAATGGGCAAGCTAAGACCAGTGACGAGGGGGCCGCTATTAGAATTAATAAGCATCAGCCCCCGCAATGCGAGTGCGATACAATTTTTCCTCACCTTGACGTCGAAACAGCTGGCGAGCTTCCTATCCCTGCAAAATCACAGATCCATATGATTTTATCATCAAGACCTACATCAACTGAATTGCAAACTGAGACACCAGACGCGGATACAAAGATTGACGGCCACCCTGCAACTGTTTTTACAGTTTTGCCCATTCCGAAAAAACCCTTGACCGGTCATGAATTTGAGCCCACGAGGGACGCTAGGCAAAGTGGCAAGGGGATGTGTATCATTCCTGATACGGTAGCATCCCCGCAGTGTGAGTCCAAAACGGTTTTTTATCCATTACATGTTGAAGCAGCTGGCAAGCCAATATCTCCTCTGATATCTCAGACTACGAACAACGAGACACACCACGACACAAGACTGAGTACAAACAGCAACAGTACTACGACACCGTTAAGGTCTTATGCAGCTGTGGTAACAGCGTCGTCCAATCCGACCACAGCCCGTGACAACCCTGACGCGGATGAACATGGGCAAGATAGGAAACGTGACGAGGGGGCCGCTATTGTAATTGATAAGCATCAGCCCCCGCGATGTGAGTACGATCCTGATACAAGATCAGTAGTAGTCGAAACAGCTGGCCAGTTTTCACATCCCCAAAACAGGAACAGTACGATTGCCGCGGCCAAAACTTTGTGGTCAACTTCGGCAAGGATTGCAGCAGACGAAAAGGCCAAATTACCTACTAAGACGGTTGAAGAGATGGTCCCATCGTGCTACCACCGGCACCTACACTTATTTCAGAAATCAAAAGCCCAAAGCCTTCCGCCCCGACGCAAATACGACTTTCGCGTTGATTTGGTCCCTGGAGCACGACCTCAGGCTAGCAGAATCATCCCACTGTCACCAGCGGAAAACGCAGTCCTCAACGAAATGATTGAAACCGGACTCGCCAATGGAACTATACGCAGGACAACATCGCCATGGGCAGCCCCGGTCCTTTTTACCGGAAAAAAGGACGGTAATCTTCGACCATGCTTTGACTACCGAAAGCTGAATTCTCTGACTATCAAAAACAAATACCCGCTGCCGTTGACCATGGATCTGGTCAATAGCTTATTAGACGCGGAAGAGTTTACTAAACCTGATCTTCGTAATGCCTATGGAAATCTACGTGTAGATGAAGAATCTGAGGATGTACTGGCATTTATTTGTAAACAATGCCAGTTTGCCCCATTGACCATGCCTTTTGGCCCTACGGGTGCTCCCGGTTATTTTCAATTTTTCATCCAGGATATCATGGTTGGCCGCATAGGAAAAGATACCGCCGCATACCTAGACGACACCATGATATACACCAAGAAGGGAATCCGCCATAAAGACATTGTCAATGAAGTATTGGACATACTTGACAAACACCATCTTTGGCTCAAGCCCGAGAAGTGTGAATTCTCGAAGCCTGAAGTTGAATACCTCGGACTTATCATATCCAAGAATAAAGTCAAAATGGACCCAGCGAAAGTCCGAGCGGTGAAGGATTGGCCTGCACCAAAGAACGCAAACGAGCTCCAACGTTTCATCGGATTTGCCAACTTCTATAGGCGGTTCATCAACCAATTTTCCAAAACTACACGGCCCCTTCATGACTTGACAAAGCTTAACACCCCCTACAAATGGAACGACGCTTGTGACACGGCCTTCGAGAATCTCAAGACAGCCTTCACGTCAGCACCTATACTTAAGATTGCCGACCCGTACCGCCCTTTCATACTGGAATGTGATTGCTCCGACTTCGCGCTAGGAGCAATCCTTTCACAACGGTCAGAAGACGATGGCAACATACACCCAGTGGCCTACTTGTCAAGATCATTAGTTCAGGCAGAGAGGAATTATGAAATTTTTGATAAAGAACTCTTGGCTATTGTGGCTTCCTTCAAGGAATGGCGCCACTATCTAGAAGGCAACCCAAACCGACTGGAAGTCATAGTGTATACCGATCACCGTTGTGGTGAACAGAATGAATTTCGAGCTCAGCATTCTTTATAGCTGAAGCTCTGAAGGGAAGCTTATGCAATTTCACGGTTATCAAACTTTGGCTCACTATCACGACGATCTCGAGGCTCAGCAGGCTGAGCATTAGTATAAAGAAGCAATAAAAAACTTTTATTTATTCAGTTTACACATCAATTTCTTTACATATTATAAAGATCACATCAATTGAAAGGAAATTAGAATTTTATATAGTCGAATTTAATTCAAGACAATAAGAAAAAAAAAAAAAAAAAGAGAAAATTAAATTAAATCAAACAAACTTAAGAAACAAGAGAAAAGAAGAGAATGTGAAAGTTGAGAAAGTTTAAGTGAAATTTGGAACTGTGAGGTGGAGATCGGTCGATGGGTACCTAAAAAAGAACGATTGAGGCAAGAAACAGCTAAAATAGATGAACAAGAGTCAGTAAAGCTAAAAAAGATGAGAAGATAAATAAAAATGAAATTTTACTTACTTAAAGATCCTAAAATCGAAAATGATGAGAGGCCAAGAGCGAAATTGAACTCAAATGCTGAGAGATGAAGATCGATTGGTGCCTAGGGAAGAAGATCAAGGGAGTAATTAAACTCATTAAATGAATAAGGGTCAGTATAAGCTTAACAGGGGAGGAGAATCAATAGAGAGAGGGACTTACAGTTGAAGGTTAAAACAATCGAAATCAAGATCAACCATAGAAGATCCATGAGGAACGAGTGAGAAGAAAACACAAGCTGAAGTTAAGTTGTTATCGAGGTTGGTCGAGAATGAGAATGAGGGCGGGAGAGATGATGTGCTAAATAAAGGGATGGGGTGATGGAGGAGATGCGTGTAATAAGATTGGAACCTAAGTGAGGTGATCGAGCTGAGACAGGGAAAGGATCAGAAGAGAGTTAGTAGATGAAATAAAAGGATGAGCGAGAAGAACAGGAGACTCACGTAATAAAGGAAACCCTATCGAAAATCGCATTTGAAAAGGATCTTGATGTGATTTGAGCAGAACCGAGTCCGATCGGAGTAAAAGATGGGCAAAGCAATGAAGAAAAGGAAGGGGGTTCT